TATATATATACATACATATATATATATATATATACACACATATATATACTTCTAAAAGTCGTGTATCATGCATAGGAACGTTGACGCCTGCAAGGCTCTGGTTTATTTGTTTGTTTGTTTGTCAGTTCATCCGTCCATCCATCCGTTCACAATATTTAGCCAGGGTGGTCTAGTCAGCCAAAAGACTGGTCTTCCTTGGGGCTAAGTTAACAAAGCTAAAATTTAAAAGAAATACAAAGACTAAAAATAATAAAGTATAAATATACAATTACAAAAATGAAAGAGCTATAAATATTTATCTTAAAAATATTTAAATTTGTTGATGATTTTATTGATTGAATCACATAAAAAATTAATACATTGGAGGCACAATGAAGAATTTAATGACACATTAAATATTATATCTATATATTTCCATGTCAAAAATCAAATATATCACTCGGTGATAATAATAATATGTTTAACAATCACATAACTTTTCTTAGCATGCAATTCTCGTCGCGTCTATTCCACTTTACTAAAGTGCATCGTCCCACTATACATACCATGCTTCAGTCATTTCACCTTGAGCACATACATTTCATCATCTCAACGACCCATATGGTTATTATATTTATAGCAGGTATTTACTCCACTCCTTTAGTGCAAATATTCAGCCATTTTGAAGGTAAATATGAAGAAATTATCATTTTAGTTTTGCATAAATTGCCTACCCATCATGCACTTTATATTCAGATTATGGTACGTATACAACAAAATACAAAAAACACCTAGAGTATTAAACCCACTATATTTAAAAAGACGTTATCAAGTCACTTTGAAATTATTAAAAAAAAAAATTCCAGCAACATAAAGCAACATTTTACATTCAAATAAGAAACGTATCCTTAATTATTTTGGTTTATTTTTGTATAAGCATAAATAAAATATTCTAAACACAGTGTATACAACTTTCAGCCATTATTTGTGAGATGTTTATCTTCTTAGTGAAAAATATGGTGACCACATTCTGTCACACATTTCAATTCTTCAAAGAAGTTAATACGATTTTATATTTTAACCCTATCGACTTCTTAAACCAATACTTTTAAAGCAAATATTATTAAACTATTTGGATATCATTGCAACTTTCAGCAAGATATTTTATAAGATATTCTGTAATTATGCACATTCACAGTTTGTGGTTAAGTCTAGGTATGATCCATCTCTGCTAATCACAATGAAATAAAGCTCAGGATATTTGCATTTTCAGCAGGCACCATGATGAGTGGACTCAAGTTTAATGGGAAAATGCAGTGCTGATAACGACTCAGTTACTCTTTCAGCAGACCATTTCATACTGTAGGGCCTTGCAGTAGGCATTAACATAAATTGCGGGCTCACAATCACTTACAGTGAGATCATGTGGGATTACCACTTTAAATACAAGTAATTTCCAGCAGGTGCCTTAAGTATTTCTACGGTGTTATAGTGTGGTAAAACCTTTGAGCACTTTCAGAAGGATTCAGGATAAATGCTGGTTTGTGTTAAATTGTCTTTTGGGACATGCTACTTTAATCACTAAGGTTAATTTTCATAGGTCATAGTTTGTTAAATCTTTAATCTTTTTATAACAGCAGCTTGATGTTGAAATGTAAATTATTCATGGTGAATAGATATTCATTTTCTCTAATTACTTTAGTACCACCATTTTGAAAACAAAATTAGATTGATTGTGCTACTTATGATGAGTTGTAGTGTAGTGTACTGTAGCGTTTATTTGTTTATTTTGTTCAGGTTCATTGTGTCGGATCATACAGGTTTAAAACAACTCGCTGAAAGAAATATAGAAATTATTTATATATATACTCCTATATGATATTATCAGTAAAAGACATAGTAATTTGTTCATAGAGTAAAATTTAAAGACCTATTAAAAAAGTTGATTATTCAGATCTTATTCCCTGGACCGCTCCCCTCCCCGGGCACCTAGTTGCACCCTAGACATTTTTCTGTCATTTGTTCTCAATTATATTATTTTAGTGCCACTATTTTCAAAACAAAATTAGATTGTGCTATTTATAATGAGTGTGGTTTAACGTTTATTTTATTCAGGTTTGTTGTGTCGGATTGTGTGGGTTTAAAACAACTCACTGAAAGAAATATAGAAATGATTTATATAAACTCCTATGATGTTATCAGTAAAAAGACATAAGAAATTTGCTTTTAAGTTAAAGTAAGGCCAAAAAAAAAGTTTGTCAGATCTTATTTCCTGGACTAGCTGAACCTAAGACATCTTTCTGTCAAACGCTCCTTTAATGAATTTTGGTTATAGATGTGAGAAAACCAGTGTTCAACGAAGAAAGTTGAAATGTATGAATAAATACCTGACATTAATTACTGACAATGCTTGAATCTCCAACAATCTCAAAGGTCCCAGCTTTGTATACCATAATTTCTCTCATAAATATCTAGGGAGATGGATTTATTATATTGAATATTATCAATAATAATAATAATAATAATAATAATAATAATAACAACTTTATTTTAAAATGGAAAAAATAAAACTTTTTTTTAACTATTTAAAAAATTGATTTCATTTCAAAACAGACACACAACAACAGAGAAACAAAACATACGAAAAGAAAGAAACCCTAATTTATAAACTGGAAAAAAAATAGTAAATGAATCAGCCCTCAAAATTAGGAAAAATGAATGTTGGCAAAAAAAAAAAAAGAAAATCGGCTGCACTATAAAATTTACGCCGGTTATAATGTTGGCAGTTTTTAGTTACAGCCTACAGCCCTGAAATCAACCCATGTTCACCTGTTGTAGCAGTGATGGATGTCTTCAAGTCATCCAATTAATTTAAGCTGGAAAGCCTAGCCTACGTACTGATGCTCAAATCACAACTAATTGTTGAATAATGTTTATTTTATGATGACGAATAAAATGAAACTGAACAATCAGTTATTAGCTAATAGTAATAAACATCGCTGTCTGTTACAACACCCTGCAAATGAACTGTCGCGACGGTTACGACGCATCATACAGATAGCTCAGTCCCAATAGCGTTGTCATAAAGATTATCTATTAATTATAAAGACACACCGGTGGGCCTAAACGTTAATATTAAATAAATTGAAAGTTACGCCTTAATATTGTTCAAAATTAACGCTGTTACGTCGGCATTGCAGAACGCCGGCGTTAATTTTGAGGGCTGAATGAATAAAATTAATACAATACATAAAATAAAATTAATCAATAAATAAAATTACAATCTTTAAAAAAACAATACAAACAATTTCTCAGTTTTTAAAAATAAAACTTGTATCACCATACTAGTGTTTGGCCTGATGCTAATTAAGCCTACCGATGGTGAGGGTAAAACATACTATGGCAGTCACACCACATAGCTGGTCACACTAATATACAGTACAGTGTGCTATGTTCTTGACTGGTTACTTGTATTCCAGTTTTTTGTAAATCCACCACCCTTTGTGTCCACTTTTCAAACAATACATTGACACAGTGGGTCTCTAAACCTTCCAAATATGAACAAAATAACTTGGGTGAAAGATGGCATTTAAATGTTAGTGTTGCTTGTTGACCCATAAATATCAGTAGATGCCAATTTATAGGTTAACACAACTGTTACCTTGTGTACTCTGTTGGATAGAACTAGTTTTGTAACTTATTAGTTTTCAATTGGAGGAAATATAGGACAGGGTTCTCAAACTTATTGGGCCAACGACTCAAACATCAAAGCAGATGGCCATG